TTCCAGTTTGATTATTATTATTATTATTATTTTGTCGAAATAATTTTAAAATATGGAAGAATCAAATGATTCGTCAGTGTTGTAACCGAAAAGTGAATCGAATATGGGTGATATTAAATCGTTATTGGGAAACGATCTACGAACTTGATTATTTAAATCGGATGATGAAGATGATTTCAAAACTCTTTCTCTGATGTCTTTCATTATGCAAGATTCAAGTTTTTTATGTTTGTAACACCTGAAGAAAAACATGGGCCTTAATAATTCTCTTGAAAATTGACTGTTGTGTCTCGTATCCGGAATGCATTGCTGTAGAACAGAAAAGAAAAAGGTAAAACCTTAAAATGTTGTGTGTTAAATCAAAACAAAACAATCAAATGTTGGTTTCTTTTGTTGCAGACGAAAAAGACGACGACCGTTAGTTAGAAGAAAGAAGAAGAAAAGCTGTAGATGAAAAATATGAAAAAGAAAAATGGTAATTGATTTTACATATATATAAAACTTACGGAAAATTGTTTACAAAATCTAACGCCATCGATCATGTCTTTCTTAAGTTCTTCTTCCACGTTTAATTTCCCAATTCTTTCGTTTATTTTTAAATAATTGGGTTCTAAACGTTCGTCCAAATATCCCAATTCTTGCATTATGCAACTTATGTTACGGACTTTGGTGTTGTATTGAAAAGCGGTCGAATCGATTTGTACCTTAAATTCATTTTCACGTGGTTTTCTCGTATTGAAATTCTAAACGGAAAAAAGAAAATCGATATATCGAACGTGTTTAAAAATAATGATAATAAGTAAGAATACTAATAATTTTTACCGTGATTTTTGCCGATCTTATTCCGTGCCTGTAAAGCGATTGAAAAGGTGGATTACCTATGGGCGCAGGGGATTGAAAATATCCCGGATAATAACCGTGATAGGGATACGTGGGTGGGAATGGTATTGGAGGTGGTGGATAAAACATTGGCGGATAATATCCCAATGGTGGTGAAGGTTGATGAAATTTAATACCTGCAGATAAGGATGAGGATGACGAGGGGGGATGTTTTTGAATGGCGTTAGATCCCTAAAAAAAAAAAAAAAAAAATTAATTAAAATAATTAAATTTTTTTTAGCTAATTAGAGAGATCTCACGAACCGGTCTTCCTCCGATGTTTAAAATGGCTTCCTCCAATTTTGATATATCTACTGGTTTTTTAGATGAAGCAGCACTTTCTAGTTCTGAACCATTATTATTATTATTATCATCATTATCCAACTGAGTCATTTGCTCATCGGATGTTGATGAACCGTCTGGCAATAAAAAAAAAAAAAAAAATAAAAGGTGAGCATATTAGCAAGTAATTAAATAGTTTAATGGCGACCGTAAGAATTTTTTATTATCATCATCATCATCGGTTGGTGGAACGAAGAATAAATTTTTATTATTATTATTATCATGGATTGGAATGGGACGTGTGTAATTAAATTAATATATAAATTCTTCGTTGTGCGTAGAGGAAGAAAAAAAAAAAAAAAAAAAGGAGTCGAATTGAAAATGGCTGATTATTTAACAGATAGAAGAAAATTTTTTTTTTTTAAATTTTTATTACCCGAATTGTGTTTGTTTTGTTCTTCCGTCCATTTTTGTAGTAATAAAGTGTCTGCTGTATGAATTGGTTTTTTTGTCTTCGATGGCGTCGTCAATTTTGTTTTTGTATGCGACGATTCTTGAGTCAACCAATTACCAGGCGTAGTCGTAGATTTGATATTGTTACCATCTTTATTAGAATATTTATCTAAAAAAATTTTAAAATTAAACAAAGATCGGAATGATTGATTGATTGATTGATTGATTGATTGTGTTGGTGAGGAATAAACGTACCTTCGCTTTGCGGTATGATATCCGAACATTTTTCCGCAGCTTCTCTCATTTCTCTTCGTATCTCTCTAAGAACTTGAGGACCGAAACAACTTTCGTAAACTTTCATCATTGCATATTTTTTAATAAATTTTTCTTCGGATCCTACGAAACCTTGCGCGGTAGATATCCACAGACAAACGACAAACAATAAATTTGTCCATTGAAAAAGGGATTTCATTTTTAACTGAAAATGTAGAGGGAAAAGAAAATTTAAAAGTAAAACTTTTTGCGACACCATGTTGGTTTTTTTAGTAAAAGGTCAAAGTTCATTTTAAATAATAATAAAAACGTACAAATTATTAAAGAATAGATTGTTAGACAAAGAGAAAAACGAGGACATTTTAAGTAAGACACACACACATATATGATAAATCACATATATCGAAGTAGATTTGAAAATTATTATTATTATTATTATTATTATTGTTATCTCTACGTGTAATGATATTAATAAAATTTTTGTAACCGAAAGAATGAAGCGAAAATGATTACATTTCCGGTTTGTAATTACAAATGGAGGTACTCGCGATGGAATCTTATTATTACCAAAGTTTCTATACGAAGAACTTTAATTAACAATTGATTAATATATATTAATATTATTTGACCAACTTGTACGTTGATGACGTCATTTTCTACCACGTTTTTAACCACCACCAAGATGATGATGATGATGATGATGATTGTAATTTTTTTTTTTTTTGTTTTAATTAATAACTTTGAGAGAGAGAGAGAGAGAGAGATTTTAAATAAAGGTCAAAAAATAAAAAAAGACAATGAGACAATTGAAAACGAAACCATTTTTTGTAGGGTAATAATAATAATAATAATTACAAGTTCTTACACGCGGTTGAATTTTTTTTTTTTTTTTCAGGTATCGGAATGGGAAAATGACACGGAATGACGAAAATTTTTTTTTTTGGAAAAAAGTAATTCTCATCACGAAAATGGCGATCGAAGAATGACTGACTGACTATTCAATGACAATGACAATGACTGATGATGATGATGATGATGATGGTGGTGATGGTGGAATTAAGGACGAGGGAAATGAATATTATTTCTTTCACTTCGCATCATGGTAAGTAACAATTTAATATTATTATTATTATTATTATTTATGGTTTGTGATCTAATTTTTTTTAATTATAATTTTAAAAAAAAAAAAAAAACCTTTTTTTAAAAATGAAAAGAGACGAAAGAGGAGAAGGAGAAGAAATGTAACATTAAAAATTTGCACGCCATTTTTTATTTTATTTTTTTTGTTTCGTTCCTCATCCATCGACATTAATTAAAAAAAAAAAAAAAAAAAAAAAAAAAGGAACGAACGTGAATCGAAAATAAAAAAAATTTTTAAATTTAAAAAAAAAAAAAAAAAAAAAAACGTTTAACGTTTATTAT